GCATATTAACTTTCATATTTATATCAAATTCTGACTGACATATATTTCATTCAGATGAATTATTTGGCCCCAGAATTTCTCTAAAAGCAAAAGCATCAATCTTTTCAGAACTAGAAAAGGAAAAGCTTCATCATGAATGACTCAAAGGCAAGATGACTTATTCCTCATTCCTATGATGTTCTAAATCCAGAGTTAGAGAAGGAGAAGAAAAAAAATTATCTGAGTATTTTGGAGAATTAAATGCCAAAATCAGACCCTTCTATAATTCATGAATAAATTATGATATATCACCATTTTCAGAAAAGTCACCCATGAGTTTAGTTAACTTGGCTCTGGATACTTTATCTCCCTCATATATGGTTTGCACTCATGTCCATCAGTTTTGTTTTCAGACTAAAAACAGAGATATGATCATTTTGCAAGAACTATTATGGTTCCTACAAGAGAATTACCAAAAATAAAGATACCGATAAGAGATTTGCAGAAAGTAGAAGCCAGAGACTAAATGGAAATTGCCTACTTTTCAATTACAAGATGGGGGAGTGACCATTATGTAAAAGTAACTCTACAAATAGGTACTGCTTAAGTAAAGCTTAAATGTGGAACTCAAGATTTGCACAGAAGATAATGTAAGGAGTGATTATTTGCTTTGGAAAAAGATTCAAAATCCAGCTTATTCAAATAGCATGTTCTTCCATGTACTTAAACGATTTGATTTTCAAGAATTCAATTAATGCCTAACCCTTCAGGAACCTGCCCAGCATATAAAGCAAACTACACCAGAGCTACACAGGTCAAAGAGGAAGACCATGGCTAAGAGTCGGTGTGGTGTGGCTCTCAGAGCTCGTGGAGCAAGCGCTGTGAAAAGTAGGAACAGCGGAGAAATGAAAATTAAAACAGGAATTAAGACGGACTTGTCAAGAAAGATAGCACACTATTTCTGGCAAAAAAAAAAGTCCTCATGGTCTTTTTTCATAAAAAAATGTTACCAAAGTATTTCCAGACCAAGACAGAAATAAAATTCTTTTACCAGTCACTGAAGACAAAACAGGAAGTAAAAGACTTGCACTATACAAGAATCTAGGTCATGTTTAAGGAAAATTCACCTACACAGAAAGAGAGGCAGAAAGACAGATATATAGGTAATAGACAGAGAGAGAGAGAGAGAGAGAGAGAGAGAGGTAGACACATAAGCAGACAAACATGGTAAGCTTAGGTGATGGGATAAGAATTTCTATGCGAAAACGTTAAGGTTCTAGTCAGAGAAGATACAATCAGCCCCATAATAAAGAAGGTATATTCTGGCATCTCTCTCTAGCAGAAGGAGCTCTGGTGGCACAATGTTAAAGCATTCAGCAGCTAAGCAAAAGTCGGTGGCTTGAACCTACTAGCTGCACTGAGGAAGAATGATAGACAGTCTGCTTCTGTAAAGATTTACAGCTTTGGAAATTCTATAGGCAAGTTCTATTCTGTCCTATAGAGTTTCTACAAATTGTAACCGACTCAATGGCAGTGGATATTTTTTTCCTCTTCAGAAAGAAGATATTTGATATTCTATGTGAAGTCCTTCCTGTTTACTATAACACCTTACTTACTTTCTCTCTCTCTCCTTTTTTATTTTTTAATCATCAAACCAGTAAATGATATCAATGACAAAGTCAAAGATGGCTAATGAGGAACAGTCCTTACGGCTCCACAGCCACACTTTGCAGACTCTGACTTTGCAGAATGCGAGATGTATGACTCGATCAATATGACAAAATGGCATGAAATACTATAAACTGCCTGGCAGGATGAGGAGTAGGGATGGGGCACCTGCGTAGAAGAATCAGGACCCCTGGGTCCCACTCTGACATAGCATCTCAACTTAGCTTTTGTGACCTTCAAGAGAAGCAAGGGCAAAAGAAAATTCAAGTTCAAAAGCAGCAACAGAGAGCGGCTTCTAAAGCATAGCATATTGGTGAGAGTGCAAATAAGAGGATATAATCAAGTTTACCACTATTTAAGAAATGCTAACTGGGAAGGATTTGATGTGTCCTTGTTTACAGTATTTCAAGCGTAAGATAAAGGAAATTTGATATGATTCTCCTCCTTGATTCCTCATCTGCACTAAACCTGAATATGGCCTTTACATACTTTCTTCCTGGGCTGAGCTTCCAGGCCAACCCTGAGAACTGATCAGAGAAGCAGGGTCTGAGATTGTTCTAGTCCAGCCTCTCTCTGCTACTGACCCCCCTTCCCCAAGCAGGTAGTGTCATTAAGAAGGACTGGAAATTTCACAGCCTATTAAGGACAATCAAGCCAATTAAATTGTCCCATTAAGGACAATTAAAAGATGAATTGACACAGTGGCTGCAACAGTGGGTTCACACACAGCAATGATAGGACAGTGACAGGACAAGGCAGTGTTTCATCCCATTGTGCATAGGGTGGTTATCAGTTGGAACCAACTTGGTGGCACCTAACAAAACAAAATGAAACAAGAAAACCAAATTGAAAAACATGAAAGCCATTCAAATTACCTGAAAGCCATGATTCTTAACAATGCATAAATCGTGGCCTACCATCCTGGGCTTGCAAACAACCTCTCCCTCCTAAAAATCATACTTATTCAATTATTTTTGGTAGATGATTTATTGTCAATGGGATATACACTCAGAATCATTTAAATTGTGGAGTAAACCCAATGAAACCTCATAGAATGCATGGACGAGTGGAGAATTCATTCAAACACATAGAAAGAACCCAGCTTGGTGTTTTAAGTGCTTTGAATGGGAAATCAAAGTGCTAGGGGAATATAGGAGGTGCCTCTAAACCCAGTGTATTGATCAGAAGCAAGAAAAGTTTCCAGGACTTAATGACATCTACTCTGAGACTTCAGGCAAAGGGGATGGAAGGTGGGTCAGTGGTGGTTATGATGTCAAGATTGTTCTAGGAAGGAAGAATAGTATGTTCAAGGGATTTGGATTATTTATCTTTTTGCCATGAATTATTTATAAATATACTATTAATTTGCCACCTGTCTGTTAGTTTTGTTAGACAGTGGTGGCTTGAATTTTACTGTGGTGCTGGAAACAGACTAGGAATAAAAGCCTAGTGATCTACTTTCAAAAATTAGCAAATGAAAACCATATGGATCAAAAAAGAACATTGTCTAACTCTCTTGCTTTGGACATGTCATCAGAAGGAATCAATTGCTAGAGGAGGACATGAAATTTAGTGAACTAGAGGGTCAATGAGGGTGAGGGTGACTCTTAGGATTTGCACAATAGCACCAGTAATGGACTTGAAGTTGCTGGAGATTGTGATGATGACACAGAACTGGGTAGAGTTTCATTTTATCATCAATAGTGTCACTATGAGTAGGAGTCAACTCAATAGCTGTCTGTCTATATACACTATTAGCACCATCTGGATGAAGCTTTGGGTGTGGTTTGTTAACAAGCATATTCAAGTAGCTTAATGCCCCAAACCAAATGTGGGTGCAAGTGTTTTCCACGTCCTTGCACTGGAGTTTAGCATGGATAACTGCTAGGTACTTGCCAATCTCTACTAACAGTGCCGAGACGATGAACTTTTGTGTCTGGTAGCAGGATACTGACACAGGCTGCATGAGAACTTTCAAGCACACTTCAAACAGCTCAATTAGATCACCAGAAAAGCCTCCTAAAGCAGCTCAATAGATTTAGTGTACAATGTTTTCCTTCTGTCTACAATGTTGGAAAAAAAAATCATCTCCTTTTTCTGACCTGGGGTTGAAAGGTTTCTCCACCCTTTTGTGGTGCCTCCCTTTTGATTTAGCCTGTGTTCGTCTTTAATATGCCGCAATCACAATGATTGCAAACTCTTCAGTCTATAACATATGTATGGGGTGACAGTTGCCTGCTTTCTCAGTCTGCCCCAGAAACCATTCCAATTCACTGTGTATTTATATATTTGACAATAACTCTAAGGAAAGAAGGGTGCAGAAGGGCAAGAGTACCCATTCCAGGCATCACCATCCCAGCGTTGAGAACAAGGAAATAAAAAGATGAATAAACCTGCCAGGCCCCTCTTCTTTATCGAGGGCTTGGCATGGTTATTAGGTACATGTGGGGAAGACATAGTGAATATATGGCTTCTAATACATTGTCGGTAATTCAGCACTGTGTGGGCAGTGAGCCACTCTTCACCCTTTTGTCAGAAGGGATAAAGATACAGTTTTGTTGAAGGAAAATAACCAAAAAGTTACAGAGTAAGTATTTGGATGGCTTGCTGAAGGAACACCTCTAATTCTTTATCCTGTCATTTGCAACCTCTAATCATCCATATTTAGTCTTCTTCCAGTCCAAGGCTTTTGCTTAATAACTTAGATGAAGTTATCTATGTTTATTAATAAAGCAGAAACCACAACATTGAGTGTTTATAGTGTGTCTTACTCTATGGACCATGTAAAATTCTTTTCATTAGTTATCCCTTTCAGAGTTTACAATAGTACTATACAGTAGATACTACTATTCCCATTTTACAGAGGAGGAAACTGGAACAGTGTTTCAATAACCTGCCAAAAGCTATACAGCAAGGATGTGACTGAGCCACTCAAGTTTGACTCCACTATATACCATTCATTATACCCATCAGACATCAATGTTTTATTTTCTAAAGAACCAGTTCTTACAACCTGAAATGATTACCGATATTATTGTTGTTGTTCTGTGCCGTCGAGTTGCCCCTGACTCATAGCGACCCCTCCTTCAGTTTCCAAGGCAGTATTACTATGGAATTAGATTGCCCAACCTTCGTTCCAAGGAGTGGCTGGTGGGTCTGAACTGCCAGCCTTCTGGTTAGCAGTCAAGTGCTTTAGGCACTAGGCTACCAGAGCTCCCATGATTACCAATATATGATAGATTTGTTGGTCAGATTTTGAGACACATTTGGCTGAATTATACACATTTCTAACGTTTATTACATGGCTTTAGTAGATCAGACCTTGTGAATTGCTGACCGAAGGACTAATTGACCTGAGTGGTGGAGTTCCAAAGAGACTGTTTTGGATTGGGATATATATTTTAGGAAATGAGCCATTTATTCTGTGTCTATGCTTCTCCGACAGCACCATTTCCTGAAGAATTTACAAAATACCTTCTAGTCTTTGGTTTGTTTATTTGTTTGTTTGTTTGTTTTGTTTTCACTCCTCAAATCCATTTAACTCAGTGGCCATCATCATTTTTAGAAACAAATTTTATCATGCCGTCTTCAAGTCTTAAAGTTTTCAATGTCCTCCCAATACAGTGAAAATAAAATCCTAGTGGCAAAGTTCTCAGGAAAACAGTGTTCTCAGTTCCTCTACATGTCACTATTCTGCAAACTGTCTGATCTTTGAGCACTTGTATATGCAGTTTTCTGACTCAAGTTCAACTTGGTGAGAGTTTTAGCATCTTATTTCTCCCTCAGCAGAACTTGGTATAAACTGTTGAGAGCCAAATGACATAGTAGGTATCCCAGGGGTGAAAGAAGGGAGTACAGTGGCAGTTAGCTTTTGTTTCAGCCTGCCTTAAGTTGGATTCGGAAGGAAGGTTGGGCAATCTACTTTCGTAGATATCGCCTTGGAAACCCAAGGAGGGGTTGCTATGTGTCAGAACCTACTCCAGGGTAGTGCGTTAAGTTGTATATCAGAGAAGTGTGCTTCAATGAGTTTTTATCCCCTCTATGGGAATAACTATAGCCATTTTATATATAGGATAGTCAGCCTAAGGGCAAAACTGACATACAAGAGATATCAAGAAGAAAAAGAAAGAAGGAAGGAAGGAAGGAAGGAAGAAACCTGGCTTATGATTGCATCTTAGAGCATCCAAATCAGCCCATTGTAGAGCCCATTCTACTTTTGGACTTCTTGTTCCTTAATTTCTTCCATGGTTCTGCACCATTCAGTTCCTTATCTTTTTCTTTAAAGCCTGTTGTTAGTCCTGAAATTTTACTAAACCAAAAAAAAAAAAAAAAACCCACTGTCATTGAGTTGATTAAAACTTGGGTTTCCAAGGCAGTAAATATTTATAGAAGGGGATTGTCCCATCTTTCTTCAGTGGAGCAGCAGGTGGGTTTGAACCGCCAACCTGGTTAGCAGTCAAATGCCTTAGGTACTGCACTACCAGAGCTCCTTTTAAACTTTTACTCACTGCCATTGGGTCAGTGCAAACCCATTGTGACCCCTCCTTGGTTTTCTGAGGCAGTATCACTACGGAAGTAGATTGCCCCATCTTCCTTCCAAGGAGAGGTAACTAAAAACGGTTATACTTTCCACCAACTTTGTTCTCTTCCTAGGGTATGTTTCATATTTAATCTTTGACTTAAAATGACTCTGGCTGAGTCATTTATTTCCTGACCAAAACTGGTTCTGAGACCTGATTGGAGCGTGTTTCTCTTCCTGAAAAGCCTGACTTGGCTCCATCTGAGGACATCTGGACTCTTCCAGATACAACCATACCACATTTTACCGCACTTCGCAGATAGTGCCTTTTTTCACAAAATGAAAGTTTGTGGCAACCCTGTGTCAAACAAATCTATTGGTGCCTTTTTTCCAATAGCATGTACTCACTTCAAGTCTCTGTGTCACATTTTGGTAATTTTCATAATATTTCAAGCTTTTTCATAGTGCTATCACACACTTAGCAGATCACAGTAGAGTATAAATAAAATTTTTGTATGTACCAAGAAACCAAAAAATTTATGTGACTCACTTTATTGAGATACTTGCTTTATTGCAATGTCTGGAACTGAAGGAGTATCTCCAAGGTATGCCTGTACTCAAGGACTGTGGTCAATAGGAGCAGAGTCTGAGGGTCACCCCACTTCTACACCTCCTTCTCCACTTTCTCTGACATCAGTTGTCCTTAACAACTTAAGTTATTCTATTACTAGTTAGAACCAGGGGAGTGCTTTTGTTTAACTTGTCTACATACAGGTAAATACAGGAACAAATCCACAAAGTTATTACAAAAGCTGTATTTCTGGGGAAAGGGTCTTCTTAAAACATAAAACGTACTTAACAATTCCATTGCTATGAATTTACTATCTTTCCTAGAAGGAAGTTTTAACATTGTCAAGTACAGTGACTACAGGATTAGAAATGTCTTATAATAAGATACATAGGTTTTGCTGTATTTCGTTGAGCCTGGATTGTGTGGCTCATATCATTCTACACATCATTCTTAGCCTTGCAATAGAGTCAGTCACAGAACCGGTTATCACAATCCCTTCCAGTGAGATTTACACTATGGTACTCACAGGGGCAGAGAGAGGTTATATATACTCTTTGGTTAAGAGTCAGTTTTAATTTTATCTAAGTTCTTTACTCTGTAGTAAATATTTTTAAATTAATAAAATATTAAATGCATTTATGGGGTGTCAGAAAAACACAAAGGGCCAAGCCAGCTAGTGCCAACTTCCTCATTATCACTCTCAATGTATAGGCCCACAAATGAGTTAACATTTCCATATATTCTGAACTCATTGTAATGATAAGTTCACATCTCATCACTCTGCCCCTAACAATACCATATGGAATCAATTGGAGTCCACGAGTGATCCTACATAAAAATTTCCAAATGGATGGAAATGTGAAAAAGGGAAACCAATTGCACATCAAGGTTTGATTGTTGTTCAACTTCATTTACAGTGTCCTTACTCCTCAAAGAGAGAAAGAGGGAGGGAGGGAGGGAGGGAGAGAGAGAAGTTTGAAAGCGGTCCTTATAACAAAAGTTTATGGCTTAAAATAATTGGGCCTGTTTAGAGCCTTTGTGAGTTACATTATGGTCTCTTATTGAGAGCAGAGGAGCTCTGGCAGCATAGTGTCTAAGGCACTTGACTGCTAACCAGAAGGCTAGCGGTTCAAACCCACCAGCCACTCCTCGGAAGGAAGGTTGGGCAATCCTACTTCTGTAGTGATACTGCCTCGGAAACCCAAGGAGGGGTCGCTATGAGTCGGGGCCGACTCGACGGCATATAACAACAATTGAGAGCAGAAATTAATCACAATATTTGTTCCAACATTTACCTCTAACCCTTGCTCACTATGCAAGGCAGCTTGGTGACCAACAGCATCAGTCCCCTAATTCTCTGCTCATGTAGCATGTAGGTGTTCAGTTAAAAAAACATTTGGAAATACAGGGAAAATCTCATTAATATTAATTGAATCATATCCATTAGGATCAGCATAAAGAATAAAACTCCACATTGTATAAGCTTTAGGAAGCAAGGTTGGAGGAAATATACATTTAAAAATATATATATTCCCCTCCCAGTAATGGCCAGCAGTCTCAAACATGAATTCTAATAAAGTCAGACCAAGTCTGCTTCTACCTGGCTGCATAGCTCAAAGCAAGAAATTTAAATAAGTGTAATCAAATGATCAAGGCATAGGGCAAGATGGAAACCAGAGAAAAGATACAGCTTATGTAATATCATGGGGTGCTAGAGTTGGAAGTGTACATTGGGTTAATCTAAAAAAGTGGTTCTCCAAGTATGGCATGTGCATCTCTGGGAAGCTTTGGAAAAATTCAAATTTTAGAACCCATCCTAGACTTATTAAATTCAAGTGTTTTGGGGGAAGGACCTAAGTTACATTCTCTGTTACACTCAACTTTGTGTGTGTGTAAGAAATGATTGTATATGAGTTACTTGAGAGGTTATTTCAAAATATTCATCACCCTCTATCTCCTACCACCAAACAAAATTCTGAGTTGCCTTGAAATTTTAAGTCTTGACAGACAATTCCATCTTCCTGATAACTGCTGATCACATTCCAGTTTTTCATTTCAATGTAGAAAATATTGTGGTGATAAAAACTCTCATATAAAGAGGTACTATGGATATTCATTGCCACAGTATTATATAACATACACACACACACACACATACATATATATTTATAGTGGTGATACAAACTTTGAAATAAAGAGGTACTATGGGTATTCATTACTACAATATTATATCACCACAATATTTTCTACACTGAATTGAAAAATTGGGTTGGGATCAGTGGTTATCAAGAAGATGGAATGGTTTGTGAAGACTTAAAATTCCAAGGCAACACAGAATTTTATTTTGGGGTAGGAAATAGGTGAATAGTATTTTGAATTACTCCCTCAAGTGACTCTTATACAACCATTCCTTATACAGCTCTGGTGGCATAGTGGATAAGGCATTTGGCTGCTAACTGGAAGGCCAGTGTTCAAATCCACCAACTGTTCCATCAAAGGAAGATAGGGCTATCTACTTCTGTAAAGACTTACAGCCCTGAAAACCCATTGGGAGTCATTATGAGTTGGAATTGACTCAATGGCAGTGAGTTTGGTTTTGAGTTATGGGTAATGAATATACCATGGTCTGCCAAAAGAACAAACAAATCTGTCTTGGAAAAAGTACAACTGGAGTGCTCTTAGAAGCGAGAATGGTGATACTTCATCTCACGTACTTTGGTCATGTTATCAGGAGGGTCAATCCCTGGTGAAATACATCATGCCTGATAAAGTAGTAGGTCAGCAAAAATGAGGAAGATCCTCAGTGAGGTGGTCTGACAGAATGGCTGCAACAATGGGCTTAAACATAGCTATGAGTAAGAACCAACTTGATGACACCTAACAACAACAACACAGGAAATGAATCTAACCAATGGAGCCAAAGATAAAAAAGATCATAAAATGGGCCAGGTAATAACCCTCCTTTCATAAACAAAAACATAACTGGAGTGTATATGACCTTAAAGAAATGGATAAAGTAGAGCTTTTGGGACCTCCATTTGCTAATGTGCCACAACTCAAAATGAGAAAAAAACAGCTACAAATATACATTTATAATCAGAACATGGACTGTACAAATGTAGGAAAATTGGAACTTGTCAAAGATGAAGTGAAATGCATAAAGATTGATATCCTAGGCATTAGTGAGCTGAAGTGGACCGGTTTTGGACATTTTGAATCAGAAAACCATATGATCTCCTATGCTGTGAATGACAAATTGAAGAGGAAGACATGGGATTCTTCATCAC